TTTATCGATTGACAGCACTAATATATATATATATATATATATATATATTGTTTTAGTTCAGTTACAAAAAATTATTTTAATAGTTTAATTTTAGTTTACTATAACTTATTAGTCAACTTAAAAATGTAACTACAACATGATTTAAGTAACATTCTCTATTCAAAACCTGCAAAACACCTGGTTAATGAAAGTTCTATTCAATTTAAATGGAAAACAAATTCACTTGTTAAATATCTTTGAAGAAAATATGCATGAAATATGAAAGCGAATATTGTACAAACGTGTCTTAAACATAGCCTATATGTTCAGATGTTCTGTTTCAAATATTTCTTAGCCAAAATGTATACATTCCTTTTATGCTGCGTTCATGCCTTATCGTAATTCCTGTAATTTCAAGATGACAACACATGACATTCTACTCGGAGATGTTCACGTCCTCGGACTCGGAATTATGCTTTTCTATGGCAACACTATCAACGCCTAAACAGAGCCTGCGGTGGTCAGGTGGTACAGCGGTCACGTGGTACAAGTCGTAGCTCTCAGAAAACTCCCAGTTCACAAGTTGTAATTATGAGTTCTACAAGGACGTGAACGCTTTTAACAATTTGGAATCTCGTAATTATGGAAATTCCGATATGGTGTGAATGCACCTTTAGGGTTCAACTTAAAGAGCCAATGCAATTCAAACTCAAAATGACTGACTGTATAACAGCAGTATAACGGGCAATTATTAACTTACAGCCTGTCAGCATCATGCAAGCATGAAATATCAAACATACAGTATTAGTTCTGCACAGGTTTTTGCTTTTCCATTGTTTTTCTATGTAAACATGCGCTTGATGGATCGGTTTGACAATTGCGCTCGTGTCTCACATCTTTTGTAGCGTCTTGCACATGAAACAGCGTTTTAAAAGATAAAAGAAGTTCAACTCGCATCTCATAACCTTGCGTTTTTCCTGTTCCACTGTGGTGTCTCGTGTTTTTCAGCACAAACTCATTCTGTGTGAATCGCCACTAGGACTAGCGATCTTATACTCCTTCATGGAGCGCATCACAGGGAGCGCTTCATCAGCTGCACAGTCACAAAACGTACATTTGAATTAATCTGAAATGAATATGAAAAATCGCCCAGCCCTTATGTTATAAATATCTGCTCATGTAGTGATCAGTGTTTCATCTCACAGGTGACAAAACCGCTGAGCTACACCAAACGACAGTTTGACGTGGAAGAGGACGACGTGGACAAGCTTGCGCTTAAGTGAGTGTGTGTGTTAGTGTGTGTGTACCTGGTATTCCCTATGTTATGGGGACCAAATGGGATACAAAACAGTTGTACAGTTGTATAAAAACCATTATGCCTATGGAGAGTCCCCGTAAACTAGGGCTGTGCGATTTGGGGGAAAATATCAAATAGCGATTTTTTTGACAGATATTGCGATTTGATTTGCGATTTTAAATTTGCAAAGTCAAGCTATAGCTCAATATTGTCAATAATGTGCAGCACAGTATGGGTATCATTACCCTGCTGAAAAAAAACAATAGAAACCATCACAGAAATTCTTATAGTTTCCATTAAACCATTACAAAATTCCTTTTTGTTTTGGGCATTATTCCAATAGGAATTACTGTTGTTCTATTGGTTGCCATCTGCCAGATTACATCCCACCAATAGAATCCATCAAATACTAGTAGACACCATTATAGTTTACAATAAAACCAATACAATTCCCATTATAACCCTGAAATCCATTAAATTTGTAATTGTGTTTTGGGAGGGGTTCTATTGGTTTTTTTT